AAAAAAAACATATTTTTCTTTGATATCTTCAGCTTAATTTTGGTATTATAAAGGTTAAAACAACTTATGTGCTTTATCTAACAATTTTTCAAATGACAACTCTTAAAATGAATTTATTTGTTGCTACTTCTTCATCTTTTAAAGAAGTTTTATAATTTAAATTTTGAGAATTTTCTCTTGATTAATATCATTTTATTGACAATGGTTGATTCTTGGTTTTAATAGATATTGTGGTTTTTTTTCAAAAAATTCTAATGTATTTATAAACTTATTAAATAAGTTTTATTTTCATTCATTAATCTTATATCTATGCTAATACACAATATATTTTAATTTTTTTAGTATCATCTTGAATGTAAAACTTATTCTACTTTCAATTCTTACTCAATAAATATTTTAAATAGATAATAGTAAATATTTTATTTTATAATATTTTTATTATAATATAAAGATAAATAAAATATACATAAAGTATAAAATAGATCTTTAATAAATATGGTAATTATAATAAATTTGACATTAGATTGATCTAATCACAAAAAAAAAAAAATGAGCTTAGTCAATGATAATCCAACTTATTACAAAGACAAACAATCTTGATATTACAATCAAATAGCATTACCTTGTGGCTAATATAGAATTAATGTTGTTCCTTGCAATAGATATCTCTATTAGTTTGTTGCTATTCTTGAGATTTGTCTAATTGTGTATTTTTTGTTACATGTAGTTTCGGTAAATAATTTTTCAAATATTTTATCTCAAGATTATCAACTTTTGAAAAGTCATCATTATCAAATTTTAAATAATAATCCTAATTAACATAAAGAGATAATTATTGTACCATGTTAATATATGGATATTTTATTAATATAAAAAAATACTTATACAATCATCTTAAAGATAATTGATAATACATCTCAAATACTATTCAAAAGCTTGATTTGTCAATTTTATTTTTTTATCAATTTGAAGATGGAATGCCAAAGATAGTTTTAAGTCCACCTTTAATGTCTTAAAAAGAATTTTTAAAACCTTGGCACAAATTAGATCCCTCTATTTTATATATTATCCTTTGATAATTTATAATAGAAATAAATATTATCAAAAAAAATCTAGTTGTTTTTCCACTTGTAATAGTTATTATATACAATAATAAATGTTAATTTTATTAATTTAAAATTATTTTTGTATTCAAAAGATTTATAGATTATAAATAGAATTATTTTAAAATAAATTATTCAAATACATTAAAAATATAAATAATAATTAAAGAAGTAATAAAACAAATAAATGTTAATATTGCCTTTTCAAAAAAGTGAATTTAATTTATTTTATAGAACCATAAATAAGACAAGAAAAGTTACATTATCAAAAATAATATTATAGACATATTTAAGTAGAAGAAAAAAAAGTAGAAATCAATAAAAATTACTTAGATAAGTTTTAGATTGATATCCATGGTGAATCAATTATAAACTAGGATCAAAACAAGATATTAAGATACAAAATTACATACCTACAACAGATGGAAATTTTTTTTGTAATTAAAATTAAAGACCATGAAAGTAGACTTTATAAGGATTCTTTGAGCATTAGATTTAAGTGATTTGAGTGCATATTGACTTTGTAAAAGTTTTGCAAAGTTAAGATAGTTTTGGATGATTTTTTTGTATTAAATAAAAAGAAGATTATATTTTGGTGAATTGTATAAGCTTTGTTGCAAATCCACTAGTAAAATTTTTTAGACCTTTGAACCTTGTTCTCCTAAATATAGATTGTAAATTTGAACTCAATTTGATCTTATCTTCAAATTCAAGGTAATTTTTTTTTTTATTGAAGTTGGAAGAAGAAGAAGATTGATTCTAAAGTGGATTATAAGCTATTTCTTTAAGTTTTTTAAGGATTATTAAGGTGTTTTTGAATACCTTGTGCTTTTTTTTGAGGAGCTATTAATCCAACTCTACAAATTAAATGTCTTATCAAGAAAAAGGTATAATTATCTTTAATTAAGAAAAGACAAAGCTCTTCTATTGTAAATGTAATCTTATTAATATGTCATTGAAAAGAACTTGAAGAATTTATTTAAACAAATGAGTTGTATCTCAAAGAAAGATGACATAAATGGATTGAAAATGTATGCATATTCAAGAAGTGAAATAGCTATTACCAAAGATAAAAAATAAAAATAAAAAATATTATGCCATTCAAACTAGATTAGAGGCAAGAAACAAATTGGCAAGAGTGAAGAAGGCCTCACTTTTGCCTCTTTATATACTATCTAAATAAGAAACTATTTGACAACATTATATAAGTCATTTGACACTAATCCAAATTGAGTGGCATGTGTCTAACTTGCAAAGCAAGGTTCCAACATGTGTACCACATAGCAAATATGTATAACAAGTAGTCAACATGTACAACATGTGACCAACTTATAAAACAAGTGGTCAACTTGTGTAACATATAGCCAACTTATTGGCCAAGTTTTCAACCTAAGTATCATCTACAAATATTCAAAAATTTAAATTTGCTTCTATGAAGCTTCTCAAAAGCTACTTCACTATTTTAGTTATAGTGATTAAAGATTTGCTGCTATTACTCTTTCTTGATTGCTCTGTTTTAATATAGCTATAATTGTCTCAAAAATAAGTTTAAATCTTACAAAAGTTATGAATATTTCTTTTGTTGAAGGTACACACAAAAAATATCACTTTTAGATAGAAGTATGTTTATAAATCTTCTTTGTATCCTATATGGAGATATTGAAAAGAATGCTATTATAAGAAGATCTTGACTTATTATTAAAATATTCAAAATTTGAAAGATGGATAATCCACAATCTATAAAATAAAAAAATAATTTGAAAATTTGAAGTAATCTATTCAATTCTTAAACAAAAAAATAAAATAGGTTAGTAGTCTTATTAAATAGTCAAGAATTTAATTGAATATAGAACATTGAAAACATAATACATTCTTGTGTCACTAAAAGAAATAAAGTAAATAAATAAGAAATAGATATAAGATAGAATAATATTAAAATGACAATTGCAGATTACAAAAAAAAAAAATTCAAATTAAGTTTATAATGTAGAAAATACATTTATATAATTAAAAATGGTCCTAATATTGCATCTCTATATACTAGCTACTAAAAAGGTCCAATGGAAGCTTCCAAGAAAACATGAAACTTGTGGCCTATCTATTGAAGTCTAAATATCCAATCTACATATAAGAATCTTGTTCAAAGATCTCCAAGGAAGATATTTTCTACCTAATATATTTTTATCTATTTCTACTTATTTTTATTCATTTCTATTTACTTTAATTTATTTTAATAATAAAGACATCAATAATAATCTTATTTACTATGAACTATTATTCAGATCAAATAATTAACATTTCAATTTTGATGCTATAAATGGCATAATTATCTAGATTAAGGAGTGAAGTACAATATGCATAAGAATTGTATTTAATTCTAAAATAATCTTCAAAGTTAGAAATTTAAATTGATAGAAAATAGTGAATAAAAAAGTGGAAGGTATATCAACAAAAATAAGTTTCAAAGTAAAAGAGAAGCTTCGAGAAACAACTTAAAAGTTAAATTTGTTTTAGAAAAAGTTAATAAATTTAATATAATATTAGGTGTATTATAATACCATGTGGAATTTGCATTATTTAGCCAGATAGTGATAAAAAAGAAAATTATTTATTGTCAAAGAAGGTGGTTAAATTACAATAAAAAAAATCACCTTTGAATTTGGATATTTTTTAGTAGTTTGTAGAATTAATAAATCAATGCATGGCTTCCATCACATATTAATACCACATAATGATAAGATGTAAAAGTCATAGGAACAAAGAAAATATGAATGCTATAATAATGTTAATATTGTTAAAATAAATAGTTATTTTATATTAAGGTGATAACACCTTTTAAACTAATATAAGGTGTGATACCTAAACTAATATGCAAACATAGTTGTTTAATTTGTAATGTAATTAATTGTTACTTTATTAATAATAATTTATCAACTAAAATTCTAAAATGATGTCAAAGACTTTTAGTGGTTAAAATAAATAAAAATAAAAACTAAAATCAATTTGAAAATATCTATATATGACTAGGATTGCAAAACAAATTATGTATAGAAATATTTATAAGAAATTGTAAATCACCAAAGGTATTGGTAAATAGAGACAAAACATTAAAATATCTCTTAAAAGGCTTTACTAAGACATCCCTTGTGTATGTAATTTAAGGATATTTTCTATTGATGAATATATTTTTTAGACATGCAAGTTAAGCATGCTGGTTTTTCTATCAATAATTGGGTCTTAAGCATAAGCCTAAAACAAAGGCTTATGACTTAAATCAATACAAAATTGCAGCAAAATCCATCACAATTATTCCTACATGTGAGTGGATAAAGTATTGAAGTAGAAAATTAAAACATAAAGTTTGATTATGACAAAAATTTCTAAAGTTGTAATGCATTTTTGCTAAGGTTTTAGAAATAATGGTATTATTATTATTATTATTGATCTTTTACTTAAAACTTTTTGGGTTTTTCAGGATTTATAGTACATTCAATAAAAATTGCTTAAACATGTTATTTTGTGAGATTCAAATTGGACATCGACTCCTGCATTGCCATAAAAGAGGTCCAATTTCATCACTTACATGCTTCTGGTGGCGAATATACATAGGATCGTTTGTAAATTTATTAACTGAGGTTATAAATTACAACTTGACAATAATAGGGATCCACTAGGACATCCAGTTCCACAAGATACTCCAAAGTACGTGGACAACAGATGTCATGGCCTCCCTCTACAAGAATGTTAAAATGAGTATTAAATAAATAAAAACAAACTACACACCTAAATATTTGTTCTTAAGAAATTACAATAGATTTCAAAAGTTAGAAATTGTTGACCTTAAACAAATGATAGAATGAACACTGACATACCAATGGTGCCAAAAGTCACAGAATCTCGCCACAAACACTTGGAACATGTATTTGGAACAAAATATAGATTACACCTTCACTGTGAATGCACACCGTTCGTGTTAAACTTCGAAAGAGTAGTGGACACCAGTTAAGGATAAGTTTAAGGCTCTCTAAAACTACTAGCAATTTAATGTCAGAACCTCAAAGCGCCACCTTAATGGTTTTTGAAAATGTTGATCTGCCGCTAAAAAGCATGTACATAGAAGCACATCAGCTGGCTTGATTACCTCAACATCCAGAATTAAATCTAAAAAGTAAAGCTCTTAGCACTACGTCATTGAAGCTTTCTTATTGGTGTGTCATCACAATGGCTTCACAATTCTTATGCCTAGAATCTGAAATTGCAAAATTTGATGTGAAACAGAAAAATTACTATCTCTAATGTAGGCTCCAACCGCGCTCTGCCAGAGCTCTACGGATTCGATTTGCAGCCTCAAAAGTGTCATTGAGAGGAGGATAACTCCAACTATCCCTCATCTGCGAGGCAAACATGTTACTGAACGGAATTGTTGCCGAAGCTACTTCTCATAATTTACTCTAGTTCTCACACATGTTTCAAAAGCTTTCACAAAGGCTTACACGATCGATGATAATGTTTGTGAATATAAAAACTATTTAACACCAGAAAAAATTTAACCTGAGGAAACATATCAACCACACATATAAGGGCATCGATGAATGAGGAGTTAAGTTGCTTACGTCTTCCGCTCCTGTGAGAGCTCGAATAAGTCCTCTTTGGCGTAATGTTGTTTGAAAATCGGTAAATTTCCATCTACATCTCTCTCCACCAATAACATAAACTGGTTTCCTGTTCACAGCAGACCGGTGGCAATAAAACTGGAAATGATTACAAGAGTTTAAAAGTAACAACTAGGTCAAAGATTTGTTGTTAATAACCAGAACTATGCATATAACCCCACCATCAATTTGAGGTTATGAGGATACGAACAGCACACAATATGCCAATTCTATTAAAAAAGTCACATACCCTGTGCTGCATGCTTCGCTCAACATACTAACAGAATCAGCTGTGACAACAAATGCATCCCCCCATGCGAGATGTCCAAGGTGCGGGTTTGGACCTGACAAGAATCAATTCCAAGAGCTTTAGCATCCCACAAAATGAAAATCTAAGCTCTGGGAACAAAATTGGATAGAATAATACATGAAAGAGGAAATTGTATATTAGTAGAATTAAGAGAAGTATCACTAACAAAACAATGAAGTCAGAGAATATTATGACAATGTACCTCTCCCATCCCAAATGAAAACTTTTGGATGATCTCCCAGCTCCCTTGTTATCAGATTAACTATCTGTAAAAACAGACAACTCAGGTATTGACTGAGCAAGCGTGGGCCATCTACAAGGCCTAAAACCAGAAGCACACAAAGAGGCCAGGCAAGAACGATACATTTAGGTACTGATTTCGGTGTTCCTGTACGTCTGAAATTTTATTTAGAGACATTTACTGCAAGACATGGCAGAGACAGTGTGATAAAACCCATATCAACTAAAAAGGAAGAACTGTACTTGAGTAGGAGTTCTCCGGGAAAATGTCATACGACAACTTCCACAAGTGGTGAGAACTAGCTTCAGTGCTGACAGTAGCTCCAGAGCTAAGTCTTCCCCATAACGGCAATGCCCTGAGAACTAACACAATCAGTGGGTAGTCCAATAAAGTACAAGCACATTAACAAATACTACCGACACAAGTGTAAACTCTTACGTGTTGGACCACCAATATTGACGATCAGCAGAGGCTTTGCCAAGGATGCTAGTTCAGATTGCCAGGATGTAGCAGCTGCACGCAATGTTGATGCATCCGCGTGATGCAAGGCCCCGACTGTCAGCACCTGCACAGAGACACTTACTCAGCTCTAAACAAATATTTTGCAAAAGAGAGATGACTGAGAAACTCAAATGCAAAATTGCGGTATGAGCAAAGTTCGGCATGTAAAAATCAGTACAGCTAATGATAACTACCAAAGTAATAAGCAACTCAATGAACCGACGTGCCCCAAGAAGACTGACCACATGCTTATCAGGGGGATGTTGAGGTGTAATCCATGGCAGTAACAACTTTGGAACTTCTTGGCGGGCGGCTGGACTCAGAGCATGGTAATCATGAAGCGGAGTGACGATCATGTCGAATTGGTCTAGACCCCATCGCGGGTGTTGGATCTGCACAAGCACAAATTCAGAAAATATCTCCAGTGATGAATAACATGGAACCAATTCACGTATACAAAAGTAGCAGAGTATATTTGACGAAAACTTTGCACAATACGTATGAGAGGAAGGCCGCCATGGCTTGATCAGATACGTGCATGCCGACTTCAAATTTCACGATACTGATGGCAAGTGCCGAAAATTCGACGTTAGAAAAAGAGATTAAAATAAGAGATCTCACCTGAACGACAAACGTAGCCTCAGGTGCTAATTTTTTTACAGCTGCTGCTACAGAGACGGTGTCCCGACCGGATGCCACGACTAAGAGAGGCCCATCTCTGTTTTTGAATTGAAAGTTCAGTAGTGCCACGTTAGGATATTATCCACAGGTAAACTCAAAGAGTTTTCATACAATGGTTGTGTGAAACTCACAAGCCTCTACATATATACATCAAACCTCTGCGAGCATTATAGACACCACAAAAGCTGAGAAATATTGTAGACATGTGAGATAAAAGCTATACAATAAAAACTTGGGAAGAAATAGAATTGCAAGTACCTGTCTATGTCTTCCAAAGCAAGAGCGGCAATGCGACTAGCATCGGCTTCAGGAACTGGTTTGTCATCCAAAGTTAATGCCCGCAACCCGTAATCAACCCTAGGTTGCGCAGGTCTAGTTTCTAGCGATGAGGATCCCGAATCGCCTAATAATCGACTAAGGATACTTGATAGTGGAAGGCGTCGCCAGTCAGACTGGATATGCCTAAAAAGGAAATCCAACTGCTTGTGAATTGGAACTGGTAGCCATCTTAGATAAGCATTGAGAAGTCCTCCTTTGGGACGATTCACTCTCTGCATAGGTCAGTTCCAGACATAATCAGAACCTGCGAAAACTCAAACAGCTGAAATAAAGATAAATAAAATAAAATAAAAACATGTAAAGTTTAAAAATAAATAAATAAATAAATAAATATTCAAGATGTGCTCCCATCGAGTCATCAAATGTCACAAAATTCTCACAAAATTCAACCAACACCTGTGAATTCAAGCCAACACGGAATATCCAAGATAAAATTTAAAGTAATATTGAAAAACTAAAATTTAAGACTTGCCTCAAACTATTTTGGGCACGTTCCATTAACTATAACAAAAGACATTACAAAATCTATGCAAATAGTTGCGGCACATCTCAAGATATTCAGCCGATTGAACGCAAAGAACGACAGTATTAAACAGGATCGACCAACTCGAATTATGCTGGCAATTAGGATATAAAGATGGGGACACTTACGTGCAGAGAGTATGAATTCGAGAGCCCAAGGGCACGCACGAGACCTATACACTGATGCTCAGCACCTGCGGCTCCATTGCCAATAATGACCGCACGGCGCACAACACATGAGATTCCATGATCGAAAATCTCGGGCATGCCCGTGTTGCTACTTGGCGGCTCAGGCAACTTGATGGACCTCATTTCACCAGACTGAAACCCTAATTTCCAACATGCATGTTTCTGGAATCGAATGGGAAGATCCTTCCAATGTCAAACCCTACGATCTACCAATTCCAACTCTACGCTCTGTTCTTCATACACCTCTCTCCCGGCACCGCAAATTTCAACTCCCACGCCACAACTTTAATCCTCTGAGAACAGCTGCCTCCGATACCACAACCCTTCAAGCCCAGTCGCAAGGCCTCAAATTCGAATTCTCTTCACCAAATCTACAACTCAACAATCGCATGCTTTCACCTGTTACCTCCCAGCACCCTGTTCTCTCACCAATCAAAAAACCTAAGATCCTCAAAATCCTATCAATGCAACTGCCACTATGATCTACTAATCCAAGCAGCCTCGCACATCCAGAACGAAATGAATTCTTCCGACGCAAGTCCCGGCCTCAAATGTACACTCAAAATCAACTACTACAAGACTTATGCAAAATTTTGCTGAAACACGTTATCTCCAAACTTCCTAAACTACGGAAGTCTATCTCAGCGCTTGAGGATCGATGAGCTAGGGCAATATGCGTGGGAGGGAATTAGCACTACGGAACAGAGTGAAGACAAATGGAGACCAGATGAAGTGCTGCTTGGGTGCTTGCAGAAGCAATGAAGCTCAAAAACACAAAGAACGGCAGGTTTGGACAAGGCTGCACAAGGCCTCGCCACATGCGCACCCGCCGGCCGCTAACTGCCGCTGCCGAACGCTGCCCCCTCCAGCGTCTCTTGGCGGCTGGTTACGTTACTCGGGTTGGTACTATGATGCGCGGGTATCAATGCACTGTCACGGGTATGCGTGGCGGGTATTAGTGGGTCACTCTTAGGCCAGTGTTGATGAGGGTCTTACATAAATATATATATATATATATATATATATCAATCAGTAGAACGTATATGTATATATGAATATATATACATATATATATTATATATATTATATTAATCAAGATAATTATATTTTAAATTAAGATATTAATGACAATTTGTATATCAAAGAACTATACAACATTATAAATACACTTCTTAAGAATTTTATTTTTTTACTAGAGTGAAAAAAAATTAAACTGAAATTTAAAAGCTGCAGTATTTTAAAATTAAAGTTCATAATTTTATTTTTTTCAATAATAAATTATCACAACAACATAATTTTATAAAATTTTTTAATGAAAAGTCACAAACACTATAATTAATTAATAAATGAATAAATAATCAAGTTTTTATAATGTTCTTGATATTAAAAGGGCTCAACTCTATGGCTTATTAAACATAAAAAAATAAAAATAAAAATGAGGGATAGTTTTATTTATGTTTTACTATTTTTTTACTTTTTGTAACAATCTGCATGATGTATAAATGAAAATATAATAAAAAATTATATTAACAGTAAAAATATTAAAGAATTTTGATTTTATCAAAAAGAACCAAAACTTTGAAAAGTATTTTAATGCATAATGATGTTAATCAATATTAAAATAAATTAATAAAATGAGAAAAATACATAACCTATATATATTTTGTAAGTAGAATAGGAATGATTTTTTGATAATACTAAAATACTAAATGATACTAAAATTTGTTTGGAGGAAATAAAAGTATCTTTTGTTTTTTAGAATCATAGAAGACTTTTTACAAACTCTTCCATATCTATTGTAAATGAGTATATGGAAGATTTTTTGTATTTTCAGATTATTTTTAAAACATTCAAAAAATGATAATTTTGAAAAATCTTACAAAAAAATGAACTTATTTGTTCACATATTGTCACATTATTGAAACTTATAACTACCTAAATAAAAAGAGTTAGATAGAAGTAAGTAAAAATAAGTAAATTATATAATATCTTATAGAGAGGCTTCATAGATACAGATTTGATTTTACATGTGTTGCACATGTTGGGAACTTATGGTATAAGTTGGTCATGTGGCACACATGTAGAAAACTTATCTTGCAAATTGAATAAAAGCTAGAAATCTTGCAAAATGTCACCACATAGCTTCTAGTTAGATCATATATATGGAGACAAGTGTGAGGTCTTTCTCACTCTTGTCAATGCCTTTCTTATTATTAGTATTGTTTTAAGAATCTCTTGTCTTCTTGACTTTGGCAATAACCATTATAGTTTTAAATTACACTATCTTTGAGTGATTATCTATTTTTTCTAGTGGTACAAAAATGTATTGACATTTAGGTTGTTTGTGAGTTATGTCTTAAATACTTATTCACTTACATTTGGAAATAAGATTTTCTAATGAGTACCTACAAAATAATGTATAATACAACTTAATAATTTTTATTCTTATGCATAATGTATCATTATTAATGTTTTAGAAAACCTAAAAAATCATTGTTAATTTATTACTAATTAATCAATTCTGGATAATGTAAAATATTTAAATAAATATTTTATCAATTTCATATATATATATATATATATATAAAATATTGACTTTGATTTTTTACTATTAAAATAGGATTCGGCATTTTTTTACCTTCATTACTTTTTTTTATAATCAAAATAAATAATATATACAAAGTTATATAGTTATATAATTACACATGTAAAAATCGACTACTTGTATTCCTTTTTAAAGATCGTAAGAGCATTCAATGTATTGATTTTGGTTTTTATTTACTTATTTATATTTTTTATAATTATTTTATTAGTTTAATCTAAATTTAATTTTATAATTATAATTATTTTATTATCTTTATTATTTATTTATTTTTGAATTTTGAATCTATCTTTTATTTTTTTAATTCATGAAACCTTTAGATGTCTTTGAAAGCAAAGCAATAGAACCTAATTCAGAACATTACAATAACCACACAAGTTTGATTTATTTGGTAAAATTGGTAACTTAGAGATACTATTTATAAACAATTTTCAGAATAGTACATTTTGTGTTTATTATATAATATTTCAATTAATAATGTTTTTGATTCAATAAAATCGTGGTAGAATGTTTAAAGTAATAAAAAATTACCCACAAATATTTTCATGTTTTAAAAACATCAAAAATATTATTTTAGAAAACAATTTTTTGATGTTTTAAAAACAAAATATTGATACAATCTGCAATGACCTTAAACTACCAAAGGATGTTAGATTGGCACCAAGGGATTGGTAGTTCAAATCCTAGATGTGAAATTTCCAGCATTATTTGAGAAATGTTTATGTAGAGGTAACGATTCTTTGATGTATTAAAAAAGATGAAAAAGACTAAAAGAAAAAAACACAACAAAACATTAGAATAAAAATAAATTGTACAAAACAAGACTTCACATGAAACATTGTGAACTGTTGGCTTGCACAAAATAGTCCACATTCACTGCCCACTAAGATAGTAACGTGCCCAATTGCTTTCTCAGAGGTTGTACAGTTCTGAGAAAATGCATGTCTGACCTTCTGCAGGCCATTATACCAATGAGCCTATTTATCTCACGCTTGCTTCCAATTGCTTCTTTGCATTCATCCTTGATCACTTTCTTGTCGTCTGTCATCATTCAGAGGTTACAAATTGTCATTTAACGTGTTCAGTGTGTTCAGTGGACCAATCTTTTCTTCATAATTCTCACTGGCTGGCAGCAAATTAGAAATAATTCGCTCAAAGCTTGTGTACTCTGCTACAATCATTGGAGCAGAAATTATGGACAACACATCATTCACAGTTGAACTTCAAGACAAATGAGTGTCTTGAATGTGAAATTTAATGGGGCCTATCTGAAAATCTTGACTCATGATTCACAATGAGCTCATGTTGACAAAGAATATTCTTTAACTTGAGCTCACTCTATGCGTACCACATGAATGACTGTAAAGAGAAAGCGTGGAGCTCATAATGTATCACTGTAAGCAGCGGACTACCACCCGAGGTGGTGGTGATTTTATCAATCGCTATTTTTGCAAGATCTATTGAAGTACAGATGTCAAAACTATGACTATCTAGTCTAACAATGACCTCTACACAATCCTGCATTTCGTTTCAGTAAAAAGAAAAAAAAAAAAAAAAAAAAAAAAATTCGCTACATTCTCTTCTCAGCCAGGACGCCTTCACATCTGCACCTAGCACCCATTTCTTAGAGAATCACAATCTAAATCAAAAGAATGTGTTCAAATCTAAGGTCATAATGATCATGATGCAATGTGACTAAAGAGTACTCACAACACAAGAAAATGTTTCAAGTAAAGATGAGACTCCGATCGAAAGCTTTCAAGAGTTTTGAAAAGCATATGCCGAGTGAAGTCTGCCAAGAGACACAAAGGTAAGTGTGGCTGTGTAAAGAATAGTATTCAAAACTTAGGAGCACTACATTGTACTATAAACATTGCGTACAATCCACACAATTGTCATTTCATATCACACCAGTTCTTGAGAAGCCCAATTCAGTTTCGCCCAATATGCGATACATACAACCAACCAGCAACATGGTGATAGCACGCTCCTAGACACGTCCATCGTACCGATGAACTCAACCGTGAGAACCAAGGATAACATATATAAAGAACAGTACAGTTCCATTGAGGTTTATAATAAATTCTGAGATAGCATTTTCTTTTGGTTCTGTACTATTTTGCGATATCTTGAGCCCAGAATCTACATTTTCCTTTTTGTTATATGCCATTAAGGCTTTCTCTTGATACAATAGATCAACAGTCTTTTGAGGTTTCCATCTCATAACAGGATCAAGATAAGATTGAGAGTGTGTGTATATTAAACCATTAAACAGATCCGTTAGATTAGCCAGGAAAAACAGTCGGTTTGTTGTTCAAGCCAGATAATCACGACTCCAAAAAATGGAAGGGGCTTTCTACATTACATTATAGACCCTAAAGACAAATAGTAGTTTCATCACAACTTGTACAATCTACAGAAACGCAGCACAAAAACACGTACCCTCTACGCAATTGGCACATCTGGCATAACATCTCCCTTGGTCATCGTAGCAACTACAAGCTTTGCAGGCTCAACTTCTGGATTTTCACCCTTAGTTGTAGAATTAGCCGTTTCTGAACGCCATTGCATTGACTTCCTGACCCCATCCTTCGATTCTGCTATGGTCACTCCTCCAGGCAGCTTGGTGTTTCTAGATTTTCCTTCCTCAGTGGTCTTTGAACGATCAGTAGAAGGTCCGCCATTGCGCAAAGATCTTTTAGGATAGCTGTCTGTTCCTCTATTGGAACTTAAAGTAGCCACTGTATCAGCTTTCTTAGGTGTCTTGTTCATTCCCGACTCTGGACCTGCGACAGTAGATGCTTTCCTGGGAGAAGGAAGAACACTAGCTGGTTTTGCTTTGGTTGTAGTTTCACTCTTGCCATCGCCATGACCGTTAACCTTGGGGCGGACTGCACTCTTCTCCATGGAGGGAGATCTGGACATAGATTTCCTCACATTAGCTTTTTTGTGGTCAGTCAAGTCAACCGATTTGTGTGGCAGGCCTAAAGCACTAGCATTTAAGCCAGTCCTGATTCTGGCTACTGGAGACCTCGAGCCTTCAGGATCTCCCACAAGAGTGCTTCTCCTTGAAGTTGTTAGCTTTGGAGACTTAGGTCGGGTCGGGGGGGTTTTCTTCACCTCAACCTTCGGTGGGCCTGCCTCTTGATAAAAACTAGGCAAAGGAGTAGCCTTGAATGCCAGGCTCTTCCGCAATTGCTTCATCTTATTCTCTAGTTCCTCCTGGCTCTTCGCTTGGATCTGGTTCTTCTCTTCTTCTTTAGCCTTCATTTTTTCTTCCAATTTGGAATAGAATTCTCTTCGCTTTTCAGCTCGCTCGTCACTTTTGAAGCTGAATCCAGAAGGATTTCCAGTCTTGATCCTAAGAGCTGCCATTTCCTCCTCAAGTTTAGCATCTCTGTCCTTTTCCAGCGTCTCAAGTGCCTCCTGGTCTTCCTTAGAGATCTCTGTGGGTGCAGCTCTGATTCCTCCCAACATCGCCCCACCATTCTTCGTATGAGCAGCTGGATGAGATCGCTTGGCCAAGTTACCTGGCGTACGTGGCTTAGGGGCATCTGTATCCACAGGACGCCCTCCCAAGGACGCCCTCTTCTCTGTCGCCAGTTGGAAAGGCTGTGGAATTGTGAGCTTAGTGCGCGATGCCCTTAGAGATGGTCGGGTGTGTGGGGCAACCCCAGAGTGGGAGGCGCTGACCGAGGCGTCTCCTTCTTCTACTGCAGAACGCTTAGCTCGATTGGATCCATCTGATTCAGACTGAGCATGCGCTCTACTTCCTGGTGCAGAGGCAGAAGATGCTTTGCCGCGTGGAACTATGGAGTGGGGCTTCTTTTTCGCAGTGGGTGTTTTCTCAGTTACTTTTGAAGCACCTGGCTTGGCTGATATAGCAGTAGTCTGGTCATGCTGAGAGACACTAGCATGCTTTGTCTGCTGCACCTCCTCTGTCGCGTCAGGTTGGTCATGGTGCACTGATTTCTCGCCGGTTACTTTAACGTCATCAATTCCAAGCTGTTCCTGCAAGGGTACTCCAGCATGTCCCCCTCCATTCACACCAGCATTTCCTGCTTCACCCTCCACATTGTCGGCCGCAAACTCCGATTCGTCAGCAAGATTGATAAGAGTATCTGGTTCATCCGCCTCCGCTAGGTGCTCCATCGCTCGTTCATTTTCAAAGTGAGACTTAGCTTGATCATCTTCCTCCTGACTCATCTCGCTCTCATGCTGTGCCTGATGATGCTCCTCATGAATCTCTTCAAGGTCGTCGACAGAACCCTGCACATGTAGTACTGCACGTTTTTCTCCGTCGTCTCCGTAATTTTCCAGGTCATGATACTCTTCATGATTGTCCGCTTGAACATGGACTACAGATCGAGTTTCCACTACATCATCATAATGATCTTCGGGATCCTCCGCATTGGTCTTGTCTTCTTGGTTACCCGCTTGAACATGGACTACAGGTCGAGTTTCCACTTCACCTTCGTGCTGATCTTCATAATCCTCCGCATTGACCTCGTCTTCTTGGTTGTCTGCTTGCACATGCACATGAACCACGGCCCGATTTACTCCGCTATCTTCTTCATGATCCTCCTCGTCATCCTCATATGCACCATTGTTCCCTTCATGACTTTCACCATTGTCGCCTTCATGATTATCGTTGTGGTCATCTTCATGATCTTCCCGATGTTCCTCCTCACTCTCCTCGTCGTACTGCTCTTCAGGGAAAGCTAACTGCTCCCCTGTATCAGAATCAGCCATACCATCTGTGACATGGGCAACTATGCGCACACTCGCTAGGGTCTCAGAATCTTCCACGACTGGCTCCTCCATAGGGTTCTCCGCATCACCGTCCTCCTCTGCCTCCTGGTGCTCCTCTTCCTGATCCTCTTCAGGTTCGTCTCCTGACATATCCTCTTCCGTGTCGTCGTCGTCGACTGCTACCCGCAGGTGTGGTGTAGTAACTTCGTGGTTAGAAGGCTGATCTGCTGCATCGTTTCCGTCGTTATCATCAACAGCTACCCTAAGAAGCGGCATGGCATCCTTACTATTCGACTCGTGAGTCAAGGAACCAACAGCGCTTGGCACAGAGACGGTCTCATTTCCAGTATAAGCTTCTCCTGTGTCACCCATCTTCTAATCAATCTGTAGACACAGCCTACAAGATGAGTAGGATCGCATAAAGAAATATTAAGAACAAAAAAACGACACAGTCCTGCAATGCTGCAAACAACAACTGCACAAAATGGTGGCCACCCCAGCTCTCACATAGCTCTCTCTTGAACTAACCCTCCGCCCAAAACATAATTTTACAACATTAGAAACTGTTAAGCGTCGAAAGTGAACCAGCCTCATGGTTACCGTTCACAAGAAGGGTGAATACAAGATCTCATTTAAGAAAACAGAAAATTAAATTACATACAATTTCCACGTGGCTTACCTGTAGAACCACCGAGATTCACAATTGGCAGGGACCTCGCCAAAGGGACCAACTGAGACTACCGGGTAGTAGCAGCTGAAAGCAGTGTTGATGCATCGGCGTAGCCCAAAATCCAATTGTAAGCTCCTGTCGAAAACAAGCTGTCTTAGATCCAAGTAGATGGTATCAACAGGGTGGTGAAAAAACCTCACTGTACGATAATATTAGAAGTGATTCTATTATGAAATAATACTACAGAAATAATATAACGGTTGATGCTACTAACAATAGCCAGTCATCCTGACAGCGAAACGAAAATTTTAACCCCGCACTATTAGAATTGTACGCATCATGAATGAAGAATAATCTGTCATAAAAAGCTTGTGTGTAACTAAAAGCTATCGGTGCATACATCCCACTTACGTATGCAGTCGGGGCACCACACAACACAGAAAACTAGGGTAAATCTGACAATTTCAATTCAATCTGCAACTCTCTGACGTACAAGTACATTAACAACTAACTCATCTCGAGGTATGTTCTAGGGACAAAGACAAAGTGCGCGACAAGAACTTACTTCTAGTCAATCGTCAGATTCAAGGTGCCGGCTTAGTTGCAAAGAATAGGATAGAGAACTTGAGGCTCAAAGAGATGTAAAACAGAAATCTCTGAGTCTGCGAGGACGAAAGAACTGACCGGAATCTAAGCAAATTGAAAAATACTGTCACGCTATGAGAACACTTCGAGACACAGAAGTAACAAACCCATCGCCTTCAACTAACCAAAAATCTCCATGTTCCCTCTCGGATAGATTGCGGCTATTGCACCAAAACCATCCGCTCATTTTCTTCTGCAATGCGCTTTCCTACAACACTGTTCATCTCCAATCAATCAAGCACGTAACGTGAAAGCACCAAGCCGTAGGAGATTGCGGATGATCTAAGCCACGCAACTCATAAATTGTAGAGAGGATCCACTAACTGAACTGACTGAATGTAGATCTAGCGCAATTCTATCCTTCAAGATTTCTTTAAACCTACGGTCTTTCCAACTTCATATGATAGCGTCCTGCCCCATAGATCTATCCCATGACGCCCCGAGAGTACCGTCTAGCTTACCCGTCTTCCTGATCATCCCTGCGGATCTCTTACAACTCGAAACCTACCTGATCTCGACACCCCATTTCTCGAAACCTGATCTATACCCCACCAATCCTCACACTAAATTTACATACTTTCAATAAACGTTTGAGCCTCCAAGTACTCCATGAAACAGACACCACTCACGCCACACAAACTCACTACCCTAATTGTATTTCCAAGGCCTATCACATCAACAATCCCACACAGACACTTAAACCTAATTCTTTAACACCCAAAGAAAACAAATCATCGCTGAGTCTACTCCAACTCCACAAACAAACACAACTGAAAAATCTGTAACCCACTTTAGAATAGAGTATTCCAATGCCGCCCCAAATCTTCAAACAGCACCGCACCAGAGTTTCTCCTCGGAATCAAACGTCTTGGAGCCCGTCACTTGACATCATGTCATTCATCAGGCTCCGAGTTGCATTGCGACACAACAACTCCCTCTAGCAACAGATGCGACAACGAGGATATCGAAACCATGGATGGCGCGTTCCTGGCATGGAAACCCACAACACTCACCGCGCCCGAGAAGATTTGAAAAACGAAATCCACCCTAAGCCCCGCCCAGTAGTTCCCTTTTCAAATTTCACTTTCTATCCCGCGGTCTCTCAAGCTAAGAGTCGTCGACTCCCTACGAATACGCTTCTTTACGTCGTGTCTTTTCTTTCGCAGCTGGGTACGTGCCGCAGTCTGACTTCAGCTCACTAGGCGCTTGCTTCGTCCCCCGGACAGCGTCAAACCCAGCGGCTCCCGAAACGAAGCCGTACGACCTAAGCCAGCGCGCCGTTGCGGCATCCAGACTCCGCAAAAATACAATTGGGTTATTTTCTAATATTATTATTTGTGCTTTAGAGTTTGGGATATTCTATTATTTGTCCTCATGTGGTAGAATATTGCGGGCCCGTTTACACCCGGCTTGGAGAGAATTTTCTGTTTAAAGGTGATGGATACCTGACCCACAAAACTTAGATAGTGGTGGCGCCGCTTTTTTATTATATGCAACCTGTAGAGTCTGTGGCCAGAAACCCAATAACCTCTAGGACGTGAGAACCAACATACTATTTCCAATCGGCAAATGTGTTCCTCACCGCCAGTGTCTGTGCTCTTCAATCACAGCTCCAACGGACATTCGTGAGAAATAGTTCGTCGCGAAACGGATCGCCTGAAGTTCATCTGATCGAAAAACCAACTTCCTCAGCACTCGTTGCGTCGCATCGAATCAACGATTTCCATGTGCAACATTATTGGAGGAATGCGTTACATGAGTGCTCGTGGCTTTTCCAGACATTCTGTTATGAACAATCTTGCGAGTTTTTGCACTCACAGAAGCCTGTGATGATGACAATATCTTACACATTTATCTTATAATCTAATACCTTTCCTTAACATCTTCTCCTGCTTATATAATCTCCCTGCTGATGTTGCCGTGCAGAAGTAACAATCGATCTTGCTTCCCAACGAGCAACAGCAGGATTGGCATGAGTTTTGGGCGAATACGGCTGCCGATCCATACCATCTCCCTCAATAGAAACTCATCTCCTTCTAGATTTGCAAACTAGATCTCCACAGCTCAACCCTCACACCATTTTTTCTTTCTTTCTTTCTGCATTTGACTTCTACGGATGCTGTGTTGCAAATATAATCCATCAGAAACTTCATGAGTTGAGTGATTCGACCAGAAGAAGCCTCGTTCATGTGCACAATGTTCCAACTACAGTGTTGTTTCTCGGACTATTTTGTGCACGTTTTGTTTCATTGTTTTGTTGTCTTCAATTCACATGTGTTTCATGACTTCGCTTCGACAGTAGGTATACACTTGGATTTGCTGCAGTGTAATTTTTCACTTAGATTTGTTGTTACATAGAATTGTTCTCATCCCCAGCAATCTTAACATTTATATTGAGTTGTTTTAATATGTTTTTTGAGTATGTATATATGTATATATATATATATATATATATATATATACATAACTTCCTAGTAATATAGTGTGCTCATTATGTATTATATGGCAGTATGATGTACTATGATATGCTCAATTGAAACATGTTGTGTGTGCCAAAAATTATTGTATTCATCAATTCACCTCTGTAGAGTATCATATCACATGGCTTGTTTTTCTAGTTCATTGGGTGACTTGCTCAATACATGAACATTGTTTGAGAAATGAATTACTGTTCAGCATACAATTTTTAAAAAAATTAAAAATAGAGTCTGTCAAATAGTGAAAGTTCAGATTGTTTATGTTGTAGTGTAACAACACTCCAGGAAACCAATGATATTCTTTAAAATATATATATATATATATATATATATATCAAACTCAATAATAAACAACACTCAGAAAAGGAGATGATAAGATATAAAACATCAATTTAGATCTTTTGTTGCATTATTCTATTTGCAAGTCCAAAATACATATGATTGTTGAAATGTCATTGGTTACAAAACATGTGTAAAACTTTTACAGTATTAGTTTTTACAAAAATATCTATTTTTAAATGATTCCAATATTACACCCATAGCTTTAGGTGCTTACAAGCATTGTTTAAGCAATTGATAATTACTTTTTACACCTATTGTTGTACAATTTCTTTGCGTATTCAAAAATTGACAAAAGAATATGTACAACCAGGTTGATGGTGGATTCCATGATTCTGTACTATTTTGTCAAATCAAATTATATATTTACTCAAGAAATAAACAGGCAATAAAGTACTGGGTTTGAGTTCAAATACTTATCATAGTACTGGAATAGAATTGATGATGCTAGTTGAATTTGAGGCCAATTAAGGATTTCACATATTCAATGTAATAAATATTTTAAATTACTCTTACATCAGATGTTTGATTTGTGATTTTAATTACTGGTAAGAAATGTTGCACAAAAAATCTCAATTGTTTGGTAATAATTTTTTCATTTATTAATCTCTTTTAATTATAATTTAGATAAAAAATTATCAATAACGAATTATTTTATTGTTGATAAAATTTTATACAATTTGTTAAGCACCACTAATTATGCAATTTGATCAATATGGTATATGTTTTTAAGAATGTGTATGTATATACGTGTGTATATATATACACACATACACACAAATCCATCTAGAAATTTATAAAAAATCTTTTATACCAAAGGAATCAAAAGCAGAGGCGTCAATACTAGTAACACTTGCACCATTCAGGAGATGAAGGACAATGAAGATGATTCTGTTTACAGTTGGGGAGACAACATACTTGACCTTTTCTTTACATGAACTCTACTGAGTATTTGTAAAGACATCTGGTAAGTTTATATCTTCAATATACTGAATTAAGGCTGACCATGAACAGAAAAACCAAATAGCTCTTTGCACCAGAAAGTTTTAATAAACCCATAACCTTGGTTACTGTTTATGAGTTTTATTTATTTATAAAAAAACCTCAAAACTTCTTACCAATAATTTGGGTTGCCTGTGAGTGAGCTGCTTGCAAAATCTAAGGCAGTTACCTATCATCTATCTTTGTAGACACACATGATAATGCATTTAATTCAACTCATAGTAGCTAAAAATCCAAAGAATGAAGTGAATTTGCTTGCCCACTTCAAAAAGCTGAGTACAGAGAGACAAAAGTTCAACTCCAGTCCTAACAATTAAGGTCTCGTTTTCAGTGCTTCATTATACTACAGATATGTAATCACTTTGACCACAATTGATAATCAAAGTTGCAAAAATTTTAACCATGTCATCAAGGTTGAAAAATCACATGTCAATTAGTATTATCTTTTATTAGATGAATCTTTGTTGTTGTCATAGAAAATATGCAAAAAATTAGTTAATTTTGTTCAAGGAACTACTCATAAAGTTAAACAATAAGAAAGCAAAAATCGTATTAAGTCATTTGAAGATGTACTTTAATCAAAATTTGAAACTATGGATAAATAAATAATAAAAAATATAAAAAAAGAATTAATAATAACTAATCAATCAAACTTTTGAAAAAAAAAATTTAATATGGAATTCAAATTTTTATTTGGAAAAAAGAGAATCTTGATACGATAAACAGAAGTGCATTAAGAAAGTCCTATATAAAGTTGACTACAGATAAAAACATCTACTTATAAATTCAAATCAACATGCATTATTGATTGTTATTGAAACTTATTTATTCTTATTATAAATGAATGATGTATTAAAAATTACTTCATATTTAGAATAAATAGAAGATCTTTCATTGACTAAGTTGATACAATCTATAAAATAAACACTAAGTTTCTAGTAGATTGGCATCTAAGAATTTTTTTTAAAGAACTTGGTCCATTAGTTGTATAGTTAACAATTGGATTCTATTACAAAGTCCTTGACAAGGGATAATATTTTTCAATAGCATCACCAAAGATCCAAGCTTGAGACAAAGCCTATTACGGATATATACCTGCTATAATCGTTACTTAGGTAGGTAGAATTAGATAAAAGTAGATTAATTTTATAATACCTTCTAGAGAACCTTCTTAGATACTATTTTGACTTTATATATGTTTGTAGCTGATTGGTAGGTTAGAAACTTGGTCAATAAGCTATTCATGTGCCACATATATTGGCAGCTTGCAAAACAAGCTAACAATGTGGTGGCCATATAAAAAACTTACCTTGCAAGTCAAGTTAATGTCATGCAAAGTCAACACGTTTTTGGAGGTCCTATAGAACATCGCCACATAGATCATAAGTAGATAGTGTATATAGAAGCAAGAGTAAAGCCTTCTTTAAACTTGTCAATTCCTTTCTTGCTTCTAGTCTAGATTTAAGAGTTCTTAATTTCCTTATCTTTTGACAATAGCCATTCTAGTTTTGTTTTAATATACATATTTTTTTTTAATTCCATTTTGTTATACTTGTTTATTTGCTTTCATTGATTTCTTATCCTTAACAAATTGATAAGAGTATATTTATAATATTAGAGCTTTATCTTTTCTTGATTAAAAATAGATTATTACTTTCTCTTGATAAGACATAAGCATATTAGAAGTTACAGATTACTCTCTTTTAAACTAATATTGTTCTTAGTATCTTCTTTGATATTCAATCCTCTCTTCTATAGGATTTGAGAAAAATTAGATATTTTTTTTTAAGTATTATCATGGCAAAGCTTGTTAAAATGAATAGTACAATGGCACAAAGGTAAGAGCAATTGAAGGAGTTAATACTTGCGATGCATCAACTCAGTTTATTACCACAAGGATCAACAAGAATGGCAAGAAGTGAAGATATAGATATGATTGGAGTTGCTTCAACATGTATACCAAATCATGCTTCTTCTTCTATGGTAGAACATCCTTCCGATACTTAAAAACTAAGAATTGCCTTATCTAAGAAGTTTGATGGCATAAAATCCAAGTTTCAAAGATTTATCAATTAAGTACAATTTGTGATTGAAATTTAATTCTAAAGCTATCCAACTTCACAATTAGAAGTTAGATTCATAGGTACATTTCTTTCGGGTTCAGCATTATTGTGGTTTTTATCTTTTTTTGAACAACAAAATCCAATACTAGATGATTTGGAGGATTTTTTGGTAGAGTTTTAATCCATGTATGGAAACA